CGGAGATGCTGTTGAAGCACGGTGCTGATGCTGAAGTCAAGACCAACGTCAGTACAGTACCTCCCTCTTCCCCCCTTTACCCCCCCTATGATGGTGCACCCGTACCCCATGATGATGATGATGCTGATGCTGCTGTACCTGTACGTCATGCTGATGCATCATCCCACAGGGTGGCGATACACCACTGCACTGGGCCTGCCGTAACGGTCATGTCAAGGTGGTGGAGATGCTGTTGAAGCACGGTGCTGATACTAAAGCCAAGACCAACGTCAGTACAGTACCTCCCTCTTCCCCCCTTTACCCCTCTGACTGCTGCTCCTGCTCCTGCTGCCCCGTCGCCTTTGCCCCCGTCCCTCCTCTCCGCTACACCCTGCCCTCCCGTGCGCGTCCGTTCTCCCCCCCTGGCTCCTTGTCTTCTTTCCCGCTCTCCCCCTTCTTCCACCGTTTTGCGTCCGCGCTTTGCCGGTGCTCCCCGCGCCCCGCTTGTCTCTTCCGCCTGCCGTTTTCGCTCTCCCCTTTTCTGATCCATCCCCAACCCCTTGCCATCACGCCTCTGCCTCCCTCCCACGCCCAAGCGGCTCTCGGTGGCCGTGCCTTCACTTTTACCCCCGGCACACGCGCCGTATCCTTTTTTTTTTTTTTTGCTCTCTCCAAGCACGCCTCCTTTCGAACCCCTGCTACCTGTCCGCACCATTTGCACACCACTCGCGCGTCTGGCGTCTTCGGCCCACTTTAAAGCATTGTCACCTCGCCTTTGTTATGTCAAGGCAAATGCACGTCGCCCAACTCAACCCTCGCGTTGCTGCCCACCTCACACGCTCCAATCACATGTTCTCAGATAGGCCAAACGCCCCTCGTTGTCGGACGTGGACAAGGGCATGGCGTCAAGCTGGAGCCCGTGTTTGCTGCTCACGAGGCTCGCCTATCACAACCACCCGCACCACTCGCTCCGCCCACGCCGGCACCGCCTTCCGCCTGGCTACCGCCTCTGCCCACCACCCCCACCCTCGAGGTGAGCCTGCTCCCCCATCTTGTTTTCCCCAATGCATTTACTACCCCAATTCCTACGGCCTCATCCAACCTAATCACGACCAATGGCACCACACAACCCTCCATTAGACCACGGCCTCTGTTGTGGTGGCGGTGGACAAGTGGTTCAAGCCGCTCTTGCCCACGCGCACCACCCATCCCCTCCCCCACCTCGATGCCTTTATCAGCGGTGCCGCCAAACAAAACCCCAATCTTGCAACGGCGGTTGCTTCAATCCGCAAAACCATCGATGAAGCCCCACCAGAGTCTCCTGCCATGGACTTGCCTGCCTTCCAGGCGACCATTACCCAGGCTCTGAACGCACTCGACCAGGCACTGGCAGCGCCCAAAGCGTTGAACAGCCACTTGGGTCAATTGGACCCCAACACTGACAGCCTAGAATCAGTGCTCCAAGAGCTGCATGATATCACAGCTGGGTTTGAGCTGCAGCCAGCTTTTCTCGAGCTTCAGACCGTGCTGGCAGCATGCCCAGCTCCACCCACCACGCCAGTGATCGCGCCCAAAACGACACCCGCCGACCTAGCGGCGGCCCTGAGCAAAGTCATCGTTCTGAGCGGCGTGGAACCCAAACGTCAGGAGCTGCTCACCAGCGCCAACAGCAACCTCAAGCGCCTCGTGCTGGCCTTGATCGATGCTCTGGGCGCCGTGGCAAGAGCGGGAACCACCGACACAATTCATCGCGTGGAGACGCTACGGCAGTGCGCGCAATGCGTGGATGCAAGTGCACCGCCGCCAGCCGAGACATTGCCCGAGGCTTGGGAGCAGCTGTGCCAAGCGCACAAGAAGCTGAGCCTGCTCGAGCAGAATGGTCTCGAGCAAATTGCTCAGTGGCAACCACCTACAGACTACGAGCATCGGGATTGGTACTTGGCGTTTGTGCACCACGAGTCGCAAGCTCTGCTGCAGCAGTTACAAGACATGATCGACTGGCAGGCCACGACGCTCTCCGTGTTGACCTCGTGCATGAGTCACGTGGACAGCTTAAACCAAGGCGTCGATGATGAATCGGTTGCTGCCAACGAGGAACTAACCAAGGTGGAGACTGATATTCAAGGATTTCACACGGCTCTACAACATCTGCCTGAAACTGTTCGGTCTGGTCTCGAGCAGGAACTCAAAAGGCTAGAAAAGCGACGCGACACCTTGCGACAACAATTATCAGATCAGCCACACGTGGACCACGTCGCAGAGCTCGCCCAGCTGCTGCATCAGCACTTTTCAGCGCTGCTGGTCTTTCTGCACCCTGAACAGAGCACGCTGGGAGCGCGGCTCCGCACAGTGCTTGGGCCCGACCTTCCAGCCAGTCTGATCTTGGAGGCCATGACCGAAGTAGACCAGGGTTTGACGCTGTCCAGCCTGGGCCAACTGTCTCTCCAATACAACCAGAATCACAAGGTGTACAAAGCCCACGCAGCACTGCCGAATCTCCCTGAGCAAGATTTGGCTGTGAAAGAGTATGCACTTGCTGAGCAACACAAGCAGGATCAGTGTCGTACATTTCTGCGTGAGCTCCGCGCCATGCGCCAGCTTGAGCACCCACACATCATTCCGGTTCTTGGCGCGCTTGTGGACGTGCACAGTGGCCACCCCAGCGCCTATTTGGTGCAACCGTGGTGTACACAGGGGGATCTGCAGCAGTGGCTCGGTAGGGCGCGCCACCTGGCCACCTCGACCGTCATTGCAGGTTTGATGAATCAGCTGCGCACGGCCCTGGCGTTTATGCATAGCAAGGGCCTGGTACACCGGGATGTCAAGCTGAGCAACGTCATGCTGGATGGCGAGGAGGACCAACCTGTTGTGCGGCTCGGTGATTTCGACATTGCCAAGGCCGCCGCTGAAGCCACCATGTTGCCGTGTACTGCCACCGCGTCGTCGGGTACGGCGGGCTACGTCGCACCGGAGGTGCTGTTTGGAATGGGTCGTGTGGGTGCACGACCGGCACAAGATGCCTTTTCCTTTGGCTGCGTTCTCTACAACACGTACATGTTCCCACAAACGGTGCCACCTGCCCGTTTACCCACGGATCAGCTTGTTGACAAATGCACATGGGATTCGGTAGCAGGAAACGCAGATTTCGGTTTTCCGCACTTGGCGGCTGAGGTGAGCGTATTGTGAATCTCTGAAACGACAACTGGGCACCGCGCCTCTCGTGTGGAAACTCACTTTGGTTTCTCTGATGCAGATGTGCGATTTGTCGA